CTCTTCCCCCCCCCCAAAAAAAAATAATAATGAGGAAGAGGGAGGTGAGAGGGCCACGTTGGCAGGGGTTGGGGACTGTGGGAACTGGGTGATGCGTCCATGGGGGTTCACGCACCATCTGTCTACGTGAGTGCGGGTCCGAAATCCTCCGGAATAAAAAGTGGAACAGAAATAACTGTCAGGAACCAAAACAGAATTTATGTCTGCACCGTAATGGCTGCGATCATATTTGGCCTTGCTTTTCACATAGATTCGGTTTTGTGTGCTGTTGTTTTTTAACCAGACAGTAAAAAAGGTGATTAAGCACCTGCTGGAGTCGGAGACTAAACCACTCGCCACTTGGGCAGGATGCCAGGGCAGCTTGCGTGACACTGACTCCCCGTGAACTTGTAAGGTTTGTCAGGATGGACACGGGACCGGAGCCAGTTCCTAAACTCGGGGCACATGGCGATCAAAGCTGTAGGGATGGTATAAGAGAAGACTGTCAGACACTCCTGGACCAGAAGCAGAGCAGGCTGGCTGGCATCAATCACCCTGAGCACCCAGTCCTCCAACAAGCTCAGGCCATTCTCTTCACAGGAGAATGTTATTAACTGGTACGTTGCTCAAGCAAATGCTATCCCCTGAGGCTTTCCTCTTGCTATATTTTTTAAAAAATATTTTTTTATTGATTTCAGAGAAGGAAAGAGAGAAACATCAATGATGAGAATCATTGATTGGCTTCCTCCTGCACACCTCCTACTGGGGATTGAGCCCACAACCTGGGTATATGCCCTTGACTGGAATCGAACCTGGAACCCTTCAGTTCCCAGGCCCACACTCCATCCACTGAGTCAAACCTGCCAAGGCTATTTAAAAAATATATACATTTTTTTAAATTTTGTTTTTATTGATTTCAGGGAAGAAGAGCAAGGGAGAGAAAGACAGAAACATCAACGATGAGAGAGAATCGTTGATTGGCTGCCTCCTGCCCATCCCCTACTGGGAGATGGAGCCCACAATCTGGGAATGTGCCTTTGACCGAGAATTGAACCAAGACCTTCTGGTTCAGAGAGCGACAATCAACCACTGAGCCACACCAGCCAGGCCTGCCCTGACTGCTTTTGTTCTTAGAGATCAGAGAGGTGATATCAGAAAGAACCAGTTCGATCCCGGAGTGCATGTTATCTTCCCGTTTGCTTGGCAAGGCCTGAGCTCCTTCTCAAATCACGTGAGCGCCCACCGCCCTGGGCTGGCACCAACCCTCTCGGTACCTATGTGAGGACCAGACTCTCCGTGAAGGTCAGCGCTGACCAACGCATGGGACAGGGGCGACCCAGGAAGTCACAGCAAAGAGCATCAGGCGCTATGGGTGATAAACACAGGAGCCCAACAGGTGGGACCAGCCTCCCAGACCAGGAAACCGGAGAAAATGGCATCTGAGCTGGAGCTGGGAGGAGCCTGGGCATGGGTGGTGCTGGCAGCCCCGGCAGGGAAGGGCGTGTTTGCCCGGGAGCCTGTGCCCTACTTGTCGGCCGCACTTTACCAAACCGCAAAGCCCTGCCCGACTTGCCCCTGCCAAGACTGATTGCAATCCGCCTCGCTATCAGCGCTGTCATCTCCACCAAGACACGGAGTCAGGGCCTCATCTCATCCTGCCTTTTCCCCGAGCCCTGCTGTCCGGCCCTCTGGGTGCCAACGGTGCCAGCCTGTATCCCCATTCCTTCCTTCCCTCCTTCTCCCTCAGCGCCCCTCTGACCCCAACCCAAACCTCCCACCCACTGCCCCCTTATCTTTCTCTGCCCGGAAGTGAATATTCAGGAGGACAGAGCCCACGGAGGCAAAGATCGAACCCCGACCTTCCCCGTAACCTCCGTGGCTGCCTCACCCAGTCAGACTGCCACTGTGCCCGGGGCCTGGACCCACAGGGGCTGAGAGGCGGCTCCGGGTGAGCTGTGAGGAGGAGGATGGGAAACTGGCATCAGTTTAGAAAAAGAGGGTTTTACTTTTCAGCACCTGCCAGCCTGATAGGTCTGCCAAGGGCTTTACAGTTGCTAAGGATTCTACATTAAACACACACACACACACACACACACACACACACACACACCCCTGCACCACCCCTCCTGCCAAACAGACGGAACTTATTGGGTGAGCGGCCAGCTCTTAGGAAGGAGACGGTTCAGGAACCCTTTGTTTCCAGAGTGTTCTCTGTTCTCATCACCACCCGACCACCTGAAACATCTCCCTTTCACTAAAGGCTGGGTCCCAAAGCCAGAGAGGTAAGCCTTGACTTGGACCTACAAGATGTGTGTTGCTGGTTTTTTTTTTTGTTTTTTTTTTAAATATATTTTATTGATTTTACACAGAGAGGAATTGAGAGGGACAGAGAGTCAGAAACGTCGATGATAGAGAATCGACCAGCTGCCTCTTGCACACCCCCTACTGGGGATGTGCCCGCAACCAAGGTACATGCCCTTGACCGGAATCGAACCCGGGACCTTTCAGTCCGCAGGCTGACGCTCTATCCACTGAGCCAAACCGGTCCCGGCGTGTTGCTGTTTTTCATACACAAGGGCAGGCGACTAGACAACTTTTGAATAGTTATGGATTTTTTTTTTTTTTTTAAGTTCTTGGGTCCAGCCCTCATGGCTCAGTGGTTGAGCATCAACCTATAAACCAGGAGGACGTGGTTCCGTTCCCGGTCGGGGCACATGATCAGGTGGCGGGCTCCATCCCCAGTGTGGGGCATGCTGATCAGTGATTCTCGTCATTGATGTTTATTTTTTTTAATTTTTTAAATATATTTTATTGATTTTGTACAGAGAGGAAGGGAGAGAGATAGAAACATCGATGAGAGAGAGTCATCGATCAGCTGCCTCTTGCACACCCCCTACTGGGGATATGCCCGCAACCAAGGTACATGCCCTTGACCGGAATCGAACCCGGGTCCCTTCAGTCCCCAAGCAGACGCTCTATCCATTGAGCCAAACCAGTTTCGGCTCATCATTGATGTTTCTCTCTCTCTCTCTCTCTCTCTCTCTCTCTCTCTCTCTCTCTCTCTCCTCCTTTCCTCTCTGAAATCAATTATACACACACACACACACACACACACACACACACACACACACATTTTCCAGCGTATAAGACGACCCCCTAATTTTACAGTTATATGTATATTTATAAATACATTTTTTTAAAGCAGATGGGAAATAGAAGGATGAGGGTGGGACAGACTCAAGGGCGCTGCTGGCCACAGCTCTCATTGGCGGAGGGGGCGGGGGGTTGAGGAGAGTGGGGGTTGGAGCCAGCATCCCTCTGGGAGGAGGAGGAGGATGCCCCAGGCTGCTCTGCCCACTGGAGCGCGGGGGGGGGGGGGGGGGGGGGGGGCGCGTTGTGAGTTGCCTCCCCGCTTCTCCCAGCGCCGCCGGCCGCTGCGCTGTTAGGAGGATGACCAACCATAAAGTGAATTCACCAAGGAGGATGCGGGAAGCTGTGGAGGAGCTGCCCCACCCGGGGGGGACCAGAGGCAAACTTACCTTAAAGCCCGCCCCGTCCAAAGAATGGAGCCTAAGTCTGTGGGGTTTTCCCCCAAAGGGCGCTCCTGAAACCCTTCACTTCACATCCCCAAAGCCCACCTGGGAGGGATGGCTGGGAGCCCCGAAAAGCCGGGGTCCTTTGGTGGCATCAGGCGGGCCTGACCTTAGCCAAGGGGGTTATGGAGGATGAGGGGGGGTGATAAGGGGGGAGGATGTGGGTGTGTCCCTCTCAGGCGGCCCTTGGGCGCTGTACTTGCTTGCAAAGCTCAGGGCACCTTTGGGAGCCCTGCCCCACCCGGCCCCACCCTCCTGGGCTCTGAGAGGCTCCCTCCACCCTGGAGCGTGGCAGGCGCAGGCAGTCCGACCTCACCGGCCTAGGTACCAGGCCGCCCCCCCACCTCTCACCCCCTCCAGCCAGGCAGTGGGCCACACTGGGGCCCGGTGGCTGGGCTCAGCCTGTGTGGCCAGAGCGGGTGGGTGAGGTGGGCGAGGTCAGGGATGGGGGTGGGGGCAGACCCACATGAGCGGGAAGAGGAGGTGGAAATGAGTGTGGTCACAGCGCGATGCCAAAGGGGAAAGGAACAGCCCCTGGTCCCATTGCTCCCAACGTCCACCCACATTTCTTGGGGGTGGAGGGGTGGCCGGGCGCTGCCTGGGGAGAGCTCTGGGGAGGAGGATGGAAGCCAGTTTGTGCACCCTGGCCGCCTGGGCAGGTAAGACTTCCCGCCAGCACTCACCTTCCTCCCCAGTCAGGGGGTTAATGGCATGGAAGTGGAGGAGGGTTGAGGGAGGTGGTGCGGGGTGGTCAGTGTGGGGTCCATGTACATGGGGTGGAGGGCGTGCCCAGGGCGGCAGTGCTTTGAGGGGTGTGTCTTCAGCATCTGGGGGACCAGCCATGGGGGCCATGGCACCCAAACCACATTAAGTTTGAGATGTGATGGGGCCTTGGTGACCCCAATCCTCTAGCTTTCTTGGATGGAACCGATTTTCCAAGCCTGGCTCCCCTGTGGGTGCTGGGAGCTCCCCGCCCCCCAGCCTTCCACGGAGTCCCTTGTCTGGTCCGCTGGTGTCTGACGGATTCTGTAACCAGGACTCCCACTCCCTTTGTCCTCCGAGTGCTTTCCTTGGCTTCTGCGGGTGTCAGGCAGGGAGGATGTCAGGACTAATTTTTCATTTTATTTTTAAAAATATATTTTTGTTGATTTCAGAGAGGAAAGGAGAGAGAGAGAGAGAGATAGAAACATCAATGGTGAGAGAGAACCACTGATCAGCTGTCTCCTGCCCGCCCCTTATTGGGGATGGAGCTCTCCACCGGGGCCTGTGCCCTGACCCCGGGAATCGAACCGGGACTTCCTGGTTCATAGGTCAGTGTGAAACCACTGAGCCACATCGGCTGGGCAGCATCGACGTTCTAGTTGGCTCTTCCACTGACCACCCTGGGAAGAGGCGGCGTTGAGAAGGACTGAGCGCAGCCCGGGTCGCCCACACAGAATCCCTTTATTGGCCTGAATCACAGTTATGAGGTCTGGTCCGTCAGAAAGAAGCATCGTGTAGAAAACGACATACGAAGACACCAGCACACACACACGCCCCGGCCACCGGAGCACGTCCTCTCGCCACTCAGACCCCTGGACGTGTCTTCCGTCTGATCATCGGGGCTTCGGGAGAACGGACACTGACTGGCCCCCGGAGGCTGGCCTCTGGGTGTTCCTTCACCTCGGAAGCAATGGGACATGTAAACACAGAGGGCAGGGCAGGCGTGGACAACACGACGCCTGGCCGCCGGCCGCCGGGGCCGCCAGCCGTGTCCTCGGGGGAGGCCCGCCCCCCTCGGTCCCGTGGGCGCCTGTGACCCATGAGGACGGCGGCCCCTCGCCGCAGAGGCAGCCACGTCCTCCCCTGCTGGAGAAGCCGCGCGCACGGGGGGAAAGACTGGCTGCTAGTCCAGTTCAAGTCACTGGTTAGGGTCACGTCAGAGACTAGCTGAAGCTTGCTTTAAAAAGGGAAATGTAAAAATAATCTCTGTTCTTTCTCCCCCGTCCTTCCTTTCTCATGCTGAGCGCTTGGGCCGAACTCCGGCAAAGCTCTCCAGGCTTCGGAGCTCCGGTCAGGTTCCAGGTGACCGGTGGCCAGCGGAGAGGGACTCCCCGCAGAGACCACAGGCCTTCCCCGCACCTACGTGAGTGCGAGGGGCTCCGCCCACATGTAAACGAAGGGCTGGAGTCCGGGCGGCTGGCGGGTGTCCCGAATCGCTTAGAAAAAGGAAGGCGCCTACACGGATCAACATGAATGTCACGGGGACTCGGAAACCATGGCCACCACGGTGCGCGCGGAACACAGGTCTCCGAACAGAGCTACAGCCTCTTCTTTTCACAGGCTGTGTTCGCAGCGGTCGCAATTCCCCGATTCCTTCAATTTCAAAAAGTCAATCTTTGCAGAGAGAGTGGGGGGAGAGAGAGAGGAGAGAGAGAGAGAGAGAGAGAGAGAGAGAGAGAGAGAGAGAGAGAGAGAGAGAGAGAGGAGAGAGGAGAGGAGAGACTAGCTGATCCTCTCCCCTGTCTGTGCCCCCAGCCCGTTCAGGGTCTCCCTCAGGGAGGCAGGGAAGGGATGACCCTCCCGGGGCCGCTGGGCCTGCGAGAGGAGGAGGTGGCTCTGTCCGCGATGCTCCAGCCCCAGGTCGGGAGGACAGAGGAGAGGTGTCCCGGCCGCTCTGCTCCGCGTTGCCAGGCGCACGTGCTCAGAGCCTTCTCCCTGGGAGCGTGCTTCCGCAGGTGACCTTGGAGCCTGCCCTGGAGTCTGGTGAGAGCGCCTGGAGGTCCGAGAGCAGACACGTCCCTGAGCTGCAGTCCCACTCAGAGGCCAACCGGGAGTCCCGCTGACCCCTGGGAATTCCACAAATAACACCAGTCTCCCCTTCGGGAGACAAGGACAGACCGTTTTTGATCAGAATCAATGGGGTAAGGAGATGAGGAGGAGGGAAAGCAAACAGGTTCGAACGGGAAGGAGGAGTCCGTGCTCCCGCGGAAGCCAGGAGTGTCCGTGTCCGTGTCCGTGTCCGTGTCCTTGTGCAGCCTCTCCTGGGCTCGAGGGCAGCTCGGCGCTAGCCCAGGCCCACGTCCAGTGACATCATCACCACAAACCCCAGGATGGAGGCCCAGGACGCCAGCTTCCCGTTCCCCCTAGGAGGGAAGGAGAGGAGAAACGTGAGACCGCGGTGCCCCCCGGGGGCCGCCCCCACGCAGGACGCATGGGCCAGCGCGGACAGAGAGCACCCCACGATCAACGATGGGACCGACCGGCACTGACAACGGACACTGCCCGCTGACACCGAGCTAGGCCATCGGAGAAACTCCTGTCCGCAGCAGGACAACCACGGAACCGTTATGTCCACGCTACTGGCGGGGAAACCGAGGCACGGGGACGTTAAAGAACTTGCCAAAGGTCGCCCGTTGCAGCTCTGGAACCCATGCTCCAGTGATGCATGGTGGCCAGGAAGCTCCTGGAGATCTTATGCAACCTGACCGTGAACTACCTCCAAACCATCCCGCCACAAAAACCAAAATAAACAAAGAGGAAGCCCCTGACGCCTGGTCCGTAGCCAGACAGCGAGGCCATGGAAGCCCATCTCCCTCCCGTTCCAGTTCCAGGCCGGGAGCATCTACAGAAGGTGGCAGGAAGGGAGGGAGAAAAAGCGGAGGGGCAGGGGCGGGGGCGGGGGTGGGGGCAGGGGCAGGGACAGGGGAAGGAGCAGGGGCAGGGGTAGGGGCAGGGGCAGGGGAGGGAGCAGGGACAAGGACCAATGGGGAAGGGCAGCTCTCCCACCTGATCTGCGCCTCGGGGATGATGTCGTCCATGACCACGTAGACCATGGCGCCCGCAGCGAAGGCCAGGGCGTAGGGCAGGAGGGGCTCGGCCAGAACCACGGCAAAGGCCCCGAAGAGCCCGGCCAGGGGCTCCACCATGCCGCTCAGCTGCCCGTACCTGAGGGAGGACAGACACGCACCGGTGGGCACGCGTGGCTACGCACAGAGGTCCTGCCAGGTCCTCGGCGTTCCACCAGAAGCGTCGGATTCCCTTCCGGGTCAGAGGGGTCGCCTGGCGGAAAGAAGCGGCTGGGACCGGACACTCGGGCGCACTCACCAGAAGGCCCTCCAGGTGGAGAAGCCAGCCCCTCGCAGGGGGAGGCTGACCGCCAGGCCCTCAGGGAAGTTCTGGATGCCGATGCCGATGGCCAGGTTCCTGAAAGACCAAGAAGAGCCGTGAAGGGGCGTCCGGAACCACACGCCCCGCAGGCAGGGCCCCGGCCTGGGCCCAGGGCCTCCTCCGCTGCCAGCGACCCAGGTGCGAGCTGGGGCAGCAGAGGAATGAGGAAGGATAGGGCCCGGGGTTGGAGGAGGGCACAGGAGAGGGAGGGGCGTCATGGATACGCCACCCCTCCCTGCTGCCCGAGTGTTAGGATGGCCCCAGTTCCGCCATGTTAACTATATAGCTCTGCCCAGATCATCCAACGTTCCCAGCCCAGGTCCTGGCTGGTCACGTGGAAGGAGCCCCCTGGAGCCTCCGGGATGATCGCTGTGACCCAGTGGACTGATGGTTGCTGCGACTTAGAGGCCAGCACACTTGGGTTCCTTCCCCTCAGTGCCTGGGGGTGGATAGATCACAGTTTATGGAGAAGCAGCTTCAGAAGTGGGACGTGAGAGTCCCGACGCAGAAGCGGACAGCGGCCCAGATGGCCTGGGTCTGGGCTCCGCTTCCCCACGGGCTCCCCGTGCGGGTCTGGACCAGGCACCGCGCGTCCTGGGGCCCCGGTGGTGCTCCCCGCGGTCCTCCCTCCTCCCACCTCTGCAGGACACGGAGCCGTGCGAGTTGGCCAGCTGGTCGGAGCCAGGCCTTGCGAGCCGGCTTCCTGCGCAGGCCAGCCATCGGAGTGCAGAGGGAGGGAGCCCGGGAGGAGACGGACGGGCGCCAATGCAGCGTGGGGCCCGGGACAGAGGCACGCGCCTGGGTATAGAGCCCGCTCCTGCGCACTGGGAGCTCAGAGAAGGGAAAGCACTGGCTGGTCCGAAGACAGCGGGAAGGCGGAGCCTGGGCATCGACCCCCGCCGCACAGGTCCGTGGGCAGCCCCTCCGCGGAGGACCCCTCTGAGCACCACAGAGCTCCCGGGCGTGAGAAGAGGTTCCACTTGGCAGGCGCTGCGAGGCACGTGGCCCGGAGGGTGGGGGAGGACTAGGGAGAAAAGGAAGCTCCATACGCTGTCACTTGTCTTTCTGGCCCATTGGCTCATGTCTGTCCCTCTGCTGCCGGCGGGGATCCACCCGTCAGCTCAGCGACAGGGGGGCGCTCCCCCTTCCTCCTGCCCGCTCACCCGCCAGGCTCCCGGGACAGGGACGCCTGGCTGCCTGGACGGTCCCGTTAGGCCAGCTCTGGCCACGGCCCCCCAGTCCTACCCCCCGGCAAAGAGCACTGGGACCGTCCTCAGAGTCTAACCTTTTTACTTGCGGGCTTGCACCTCAGCCTGTGTTTTCTTTCATCCCCTGGCCCATACACACATTTCACTGGGGCTCGGAGCCCCAGACAGACAGACACACACACACACACACACACACACACACACAGACACACACATACACACACACACACAATACACGAACACACACACATACACGAACACACACACACACACACACACACACACACACACGGAGGCTCTGGGGTCAATGATTTCCTAAGAGACCCTCTGACCTGGGGGCCGCCCGCCAGGCGAGGAGACACTGAGGAGAAGACCGGCCCGCGCTGAGCCTGGGCCTGATGAACATGGAGCTCATTTAACGAACTCTCATCCCGTCTCCTGCCGATAGCTTCGCCCTTCCCCTCCACACCCACCACTCACTCAGCAGTGGTGACGTCTGCAGAGTTATTACTGGTTCTCTAATAAAGGAAACGTCTGGTGTCCGGGACGAAGGTCACGCCCTGAGGACACCTGTTCACGACATGCAGTGGACAGACAAGAAGACACGTGTTCACGTGGCCCACGGCATGTCCGAGAAGGGCCCTGGCTATGCCGCCGTCTGCTGGCCTCTCTCCTGGGCTCCCGGATCCCTGAGCTCCCTCAGGTCCGCCCACCTTATCTCAGACAGCTCTCTCTGTTTACTTCTTTTTATTTTAAAATATATTTTTATTGACTTCAGAGAAGAAGGGAGAGGGGGAGAGAGAGAGAAACATCCTGAGAGAGAATCATTGATAGGCTGCCTCCTGCACACCGCACACTGGGGATCAAGTCCACAACCCGGGCATGTGCCCTGACCAGGGATCGAACCGTGACCTCCTGGTTCGTAAGTTGATGCTCAACCACTGAGCCACGCCAGCCAGGCTCTCTCCATTTATTTCTGAGCGAGGAGAGGCTCAGGCAGGCTCTGACCTCCCCCATGACCCACGGGCCACCTCACAGGAAACGACTGTGAGTATTTTAGGCTCGGAGGGCCACTGGGTCTCTGTGGCTACTCCTCAGCTCTGCCTTTGCAGTGGGAGAGCAGCCAGTACGTGAGGGAGGGAGTGGGGCTGTGTCTCAATAAAACTTTATTTACAAAACCAGGTGGTGGACGGAGTAGGCCTGCAGGTGTGGTTGCTGGTCTCTGCCCTCACATCTCAGCAGCTGCAGAAAGATCTGACCAGGTGGGACCCATGACCTCATGAGCTTCTTCCCATGAGTAAGGTCAGGGGGTCTGACCAGATCTGGGGCCTCGTCGGGCGTGGAAACAGCACTTGGTGGCTCGCTGTCCACGGCCGCCACCTGGCTTCCTGTCCTCATGCCTTACCACAGCCTGACCTTGGAGAGCCGCCAGCCCAGTGTCACCAGCGAGTCAAGGGGGGGCTCCCCGGCCAAAGTCCTCGCCATGATGGGGCGCTGCTGCAGCCGGCCGCCGGGCGGGCTGGGGAAGCCCCGCCACATCCTGCCGGAGCCACCGTCCTGATAAGCGGCACAGGAGCGCCATTCTTCTGTCCGGCACGCCTGGCTGCCCTGCCCTGCCCTGCCCGGCCCGGCACGGGGCGTCCAGCCCAGCCGGGGCCCGCCCTTGGGGTGCTGCCAGGCCGCTCTAGGGCGCCGCCTCGCCGGGTGGTCATGGGCTCTCTTCTGGGGGCTCCTGGCTCCGTCAGCCCCGACAGCGAGGGCTGGACCATGGCTTTTCCATCCTCTCCACCTTCACAGATATCCCTTAACACACACGCTTACACACACACACACATACACATGCACACACACACACACACACCCAGCAAGGGCTGGACCATGGCTTTTCCATCCTCTCCACCTTCACAGATACCCCTTAACACACACACATGCACACACACACACATACACACACCCATCGAGGGCTGGACCATGGCTTTTCCATCCTCTCCACCTTCACAGATACCCCTTACCACACACCGCTTACACATACACATATACATGCACACACACACACACACACCCAGCGAGGGCTGGATCATGGCTTTTCATCCTCTCCACCTTCACAGATATCCCTTAACACACACACACACACACACACACACACTCACTCACCGGGGCCCCTTGCTCTGCTCCATGCTGTGCATCTGTTAGGGGCGACCCGCTGGAAGGGCTCAGTCCCCCACCCCCTCTGCACCCCATCCCACTGGCGTCAACTCCGGGCCATGAATTAAACCCAGAGCCCCCAGCCCTGGCTACACACGCCGGTCACCAGGGACCGAAGACCTCACCAAGGGGATGAGGATGAGGATGAGGATGGTGCTGCACCTGCCCCGACTCAGGGCCCCTTCCTGCCGTTCCAGGAAATGAACTTAGTCCCCGAGTGAGTGCTGCTTGAGCTTTGTGATGGGAACTCGGGTGCCCAGGTTCGGCCGGGACACTGGGCGCTCCGTGGTGAGCCCGGGAGTCCCCCTCGGTCACCCCGGGGGCACCCAGGAGCCCAGGACATGCAGAGGGAACCCCGGGCCGGGATTCTGATTTGCCACAGAGGACGCTCGCACCTTCCTGGAAGCCACGCAGACGCTGTTAAAAGAGGTCCCGCCCACTTCACGTGTGGCCACCGTGTGCTTCCTGCACCCCCAGTGCTTTCTGCCGCATCACCCCATTTTACAGACGGGAAAGGTGGTGCCCAGGGAGGTTCAGTGACTCGTCTCAAGGTCACCCGGCCACGAAGTGACAGCGGGGACTCTTAACCACGACTCTCCAGCTTCGGCTCCCAGGGCTTCGCACAGAGCCCTCACGCCGTCCCAGAGAGCCGGCCACCGGCTCGCATCCCCCTCGGACAGGCAGCGCTGCCTCAGGCCGCTCAGCCAGGGAGTGGAGGGCCCGGCCCCTTGGGGGCAAGGAGAGCCGAGGGAGAATGGGAACCAGAAGCCCCAGCGTCCACGGGGTTGGGCACCTCCCCTACGCAGGGCTTTTCCGCCTGGCGCTCCTGGCATTTGGGGCCGGTCCCTCTTTGTCCCGGGAGGGAAGCTTAGCAGCATCTTCGGCTCCACCCACTAGACACACACACACACCCAGCGAGGGCGGGACCATGGCTTTTCCATCCTCTCCACTTTCACAGATTTCCTTAACACGCACACACACCCACACCCACACCCACACACTCACTGGGGCCCCTTGACTGCCCCTTGCCAGTCGCCTCCTTCCAGCTGACAGGGCCCACGAGGACTTGTGGGGTCAAACCGCCCTGGCTGAGAACCCCCCCCAGGCTAAGCAGGTGACTTTGCTCTCTGGGCAAACATCCAAACTCCAGAAACTTCCCCTCCAGGCAAGGAAGACATCGCTCTCACGCAGCTCACCGAGAATTTCCAGGCTCCAGGGAGCTGGGCCTGCCCGGTAGCTTGGCTGTGGCAAGACCGGGTCCTGGGGGTCAAGATCAACACAACCGTCTGCTCCCTCACTCTGAAGGCCGCAGCCTCGGAGCCCCAGCACTGCGCACTCCGGGGCGCTCCTCGCACGTCCTGTCTGCGAACGGCGCCCCCTGGAGCTTTGCAACGGGACACTCCTGCTCGAACCCCAGCCGCAGAGTACTGCTCCGCGCAGGGTCAGCTCTGGGGCCAGCTCTGGGGTTGGAGGTGAGGAGCCCCCGGGAGGCGCTGGACAGCATCCTGGTTCCTCAGAGAACTGGCGAGTGGGCGTCCCTGCGCGCAGGCCCGCTCTCCGGGCTGTGTTCTCGGGCCGGGGGATGGCGAAAGGAGACAGCGTGCTCCTGGCGGGCCGCTCACC